AAAAATGCTAACATTGTCCAAAGCAACGCGGACATTACCTGCATTTGTTTTTGTCAAAAGAGCAATGTTGAGTACTAGAATGGATGACAGGCACAACTTCATTTAGTTGTCTATAATCCATGGCCATTTTTCATGAGTCACCTAGTTTATTTACTGGCCTCATGATTTGTGAAAGGGGTTCAAGCAGGACAAATAATCTCTACCTTTTCTAATTGTGTGATGATTTCTGTAACTTCATATTTCTCATGACACCTGTATTGTTATTTACCTCCCTTCAGATACTTGATTCACCCAACCACACATGACTAATTTAAAATTCTTATCCCCAGGAGAAACTCTCCAACCATGGTATGTAGAAGGTGTCTTATCAGTATATCTATCTCCAGTATATTTTCTGGCAAGAGAAAAATGTTCACAGTATGCTCTAAGGGAGATAATCACCTCCCTTGGGGCAAGCAATGGCCTTTTTTATTTTGACTGTTCTATATATGAAATACTTACACCTTTTCTACATCTTTATTGAACTGTTATTCAAACGTTAAAGCCTTCTGAAGGTTCATGAGCATTAGATTCAGCTTCCCGTCAAATTTCATTTCCCTAGAGACTCTTTCTTGACATATTCTTTCACTTTTGTTTTGCAGGGACCAAGATAGACTTCATCATCTGCCTTCCCTTTCTTTATCCCCACCTGAGGGCTTTAGCACCTTACAAAACCAATTCATATGCTACCTGTTGTGTTGACATTTCTTAGCAAGACATGAACAAATACTTTTCATCCTGTATAGGGTATCAATGCTATGATCCATGAAAGATTCCAAATAAGTCTAACTTGGTGAACAAATGAGTTTAAATGTTGTTCCAGACAGGAGCACAGGTGACTTTCACTGGAGACACAATTGAAAAAAAAACTCTACCTCATTAGCAAATGTTTACCACTTGCATATTCTCACAGAGGAGTGGGACTTTGCATGTTTATGAGATTCCTATTTATAATTACAGATGTTGTGATTTTTTAAAAGCAGCAGTAATGTCATGTCTAAAGGTCAGAGTTCTACAATAAAATGAATATTGACACAAATTTTTAAAACTTTTTTATTGAGATATATATTTTCCCATCCCCCTTCCTTCCTCCCTTCTCCCCTTCCACCCTCTCCCCTACTCCTACCCCATGCTTCCAATTCTCTGTAGTTGAAACAACTTTTTTTATATTTATTTATTTATTATGTATACAATATTCTGTTGGCGTGTATGCCGGAAGGCCAGAAGAGGGCACCAGACCTCATTACAGATGGTTGTGAACCACCATGTGGTTGCTGGGAATTGAACTCAGGACATTTGGAAGAGCAGGCAATGCTCTTAACTGCTGAGCCATCTCTTCAGCCCCCTTGAAACAACTTTTTTAAAGGGAATTTGTCATTAGCTAATAAAACTATATCCATGTTTTCCATTTGACCAAGCAATTTCATTTGTAGAGTTTTTAATTGAAGGTGTACATTCTACAACAGAAACATAAAAATAAAAAGATGGATCCTGTTTTCTAATCTAATATGTTACTCTGTGCAGAATGGAAACTGTCAATGTTGAGAATTTTTATTGAATAGTCTAATGTATTCATATAAAAATGGTTGAATAAGTCATAGTACATCCATTCAGTGAAGTACCATGCAGCAATAAAGAGAGTAAGGAATATCTCTTACTGTATAAGGAGTGAAGTCTAATGTATTTGTTAAGTGAAAAAAAAAAATAAAAGAAGGTTAGGGTTATAACCCTAAGCAATAACATACTTTCTTTTATATGTGAAAGAGAAATAAGAACACAATTATGTGTTTGCACACTGGGGAAAAAATAAACTAGATAAACAAGAAAATACTGAACTATATTACCTATGGCCAGTAGGTGAAAATACAATAAAAAAGAATAGGTATTTCTCTGATCATACATTTTGAACAGTGTTGATATTTAAAACTGTGTTTTCTAAGTAAAAATGATGAGATACAAACTAAAATGTAATACAAAGGAAAATAAACCAATCTAAATGATTAACATAATCGCACTGGAGAAGACTACTTAACCTAAGCAATTTAGGGTTCATCTATGTTTCGGAATGGAAGAGAATACTGTGAGTTGGAGATCAGTGGTTTCTATGCTTTCAGGGCACAATCAAAATAAAACTTGAAAATTCTCCAGGTTTCATTTTACCATGATAAATTTAGCAACTCTTAAACTTATTTTTCTGTAGAACAAATAAATAAGTATATTGTGGAACTAAGTATTTGCCTTTGGAGGACAGAGTTACAAATAAGATAGAAGGAAAGATGGGGAAATCTATAGTCAGAGACTGAAATTAGAAGACGTATTAGAGATCAATGGCAGATGTAAAGGAGGAAAAAGTTTACAGAGACATAAAACTAGACTCCAGCTTCATGCCCACTCTCTCTCATTTTGTCTGCAGAGAAGGTAAAGAAGCAGTGGTACTCCACCAACAATGATGCAGTGTTCAGGGTTTAGAGTCTAACCATGACAATAAAAGCAAATGAAAACGTGTACACTGATTTTTTAAAAAAAGAGGAGCCAATATTCCTTAGAGAAAGATGAAATTCCAGTGGTGGATCTAGAAAATCATAAACTGAAGTACTCAAAAATTTATAAGAATTGGACAAAAGAGAAACAGGGACTATTTTGAGAATCTTACAGGGCAAGTCAGGTACAATTTATGAATTAAAAAACTTCAATAAAAGATGAAGGCTCCATAAATAAGTAATTTCATATTGATATAGAAACTGGTTCCATGGTGATTTTATATAGAAAAATTAATGAATAGATGAGAAAGTTTTTGCAGTGGAATATCAATTAATGAATATAAATGTAATGACTGACTATCATGAAGGAGTCATAAAGTAGTAACTGAGTAAGATAAAAAATCATTAATGAGAAAAAATTAGCAGGTAAAATTTTGATTTTTAAATGAAGTATTTATATAGTTTTGAAAGATTCCTCCCCCAAAACACTTGTCAATAATTAGGGGATAATAATTACTTAACTGCAAAAACCTGTTTATGTGATAAAAGTGACCACTACCAATAAAAGGACCATCAGGTAAGGTGACATACAGACAAGCGAGAGCATCCATTCTCTTATATCTCTGCCAAAAAATGCAAAATTTCCATCTAATTGTGAAGAAACATCATATAAAACCAAATTGAGTGATGCTGGCAACCAGTCTCCAGGATGGTCCCTCTTCATCTTTGACTCCCAGTATCCCCATCCATGCATAGTGTCTGGCACTGAGAAGACTGATCTTTGTTCTGAAAATGTTATGACTTCTGAGAAGCATGAAAGATATTCTGTCTTTTGTCCTTCTCGATCTGAAATAAGTTAGCTATCTCTCATAATGGGAGAAGTTTCAACCCCTATAACCCAACAGTCCATTTTCTGTATACACATGAGGAAGAAATGAGGAATCCAGGCAACAGCCACTGACTGTGCAACTTCTGTGTGCTTTTCCTGTCCCGTTCAACCAGATAGCTGCAGTTCCGGCTATCATTTTGACCACAGTATTGGAGAAGATGTCCAGTCCAGCTAAATCCCTCCAAATTATGACTCAGAAACTAAAAGGTACTATTAAGTCTCACTTTAAGCCACTACTAATCATAGGGTAATTTGTTATCATACTGTATAATAGACAAATACTTTGAGTGCCATTCTAGAAAAATAATTACTTCAAAGATATCAAAGAAAAACAATGAAAGAACAACAAAGTTCCAGATCCAGGAATTGGGGAGGGCTCAGTCAGCAAAATGCTTGTCATACCAGCACCAGGGTTTGTGTTCAAATTTCCAGAATAGGTAAAGAGCTACACCTAGTATACCTGTAATCCTAGCACAAGGGAGGCAAAAACAGACAAATGGAACCCGCTAAGCAGCCAGCCTAGCATAATCTGTCAGTTTGGGGTTCAGAGAGAGACCTTGCCTCAAATAAGAGAGTGGAAAGCAGATAAGAAAAACATTGACATTAGCCTCTAGTCTCACATACGTCTTTACATGTGCAAACACGTGAACACGTACAATCACATACAACACCACACACACACACACAAAAACACTCTGGGAGATTTTTTTTAATTAAAGAAAAAGAGACCAAAGAATCAAATATATGATCCTGAAGGTGGATAGTTTTGTTGTTTTTATTTTGCCATTACAGACTATTGATGTAATCATCAAAATTTGAATACAGTAAAAATTATAAAATAGGAATGTACCAATATTGGTGTCTTGCAATTGATCATTGTACTATAATTGTGGAAACATGCCCTTATTTTTTAAGAAATACACATTAAAATGGAGATAAGTGCCTATAATTTATTTAAAATATCAAATGTAGCAATTACATAAGAAAATTAAATAGTCAAAGATATATACTTTTATATACTTTTTAAAGACAGAGAGACAAAATTTCTAAAATATTACCCTTTAGGAAACCCCTTTACAGATATACAAAAATTAAAATTTTCACTACTTACACTAGAGTAAAAAGACTACAATACCAGGCAGTGTAATTCCTGAATTTCCACTTTAAGTAAGCCACTTTAGGTTGTTTTCTCAAAAGGAGAGTTGTCTATATTAATTGAGTTTGGAAATGAATTTACTGGAACAAAATGCAAAACAGGTTTAATGAATAAAATACTGTAAATTGACACAGCATACGAATATTGTAGATTAGTAGAAATGAGTATTATTTTGTGAAATGTTTCAGATGTAGGCAGAGAAAAGGTTAATGTACGTGGTTGCACAGTCAACAAAAAGTAGGGAAGCCAGGCGCTGAGCAGGACTCAGTTTAAGCCAAAAGCAGATTTGTCTGGGGCCGCCCTCCCTGCCTCTTCCGCCCCTGGCCACCTGCAGATGTGCTCCACAAGTCTTCAGTACCCAGCGCGGAGCAGATGCTATTTAAGGGTCCTTCCCCACAGCTTACAGCCAGACGCAGCCAGCCGGCACCTAGCCAAATCCCCCTATCCTTGCTGGAGACTCAGAACACTCAGAAAGCAACCTTCTGATGGGCCGCTGCGGTGGCATGGGAGCCTTGGGTTCCCTCTGGGTTTTCTTCACTCTCATCGCGCCAGGAGTTCTTGGTAAGCTGGGCACGGGAGTGCAGATAAGGGAACTCCTTCAGGGCTAGAAAAATTTCTGCGCCTACACAAAGGTTAGAGATCAAACCAGGGATAGGGGGGCCCTTCTGGATACTTGTCTGTCCCTGACAACTTTGGAGACTCAGTCAGTCTCTGAAGCAGAATGGCCCCACCTCTTCTGGGAACTGGACCCCCACCACTGAAACCCGAGCCATGCATGGGTGCTTTTGAATGACTGCTGCTGCTGTTTGGTGATTCTCTCTCTCAGGCTCCCAGCCTCATGAGAATTCAGCCAAGTGCTGTGCTTCTGTGCATGCAGAAATCCTCTCTAGCCATGCAAGGGTCGTTGAGTCCCTGCTTTTCTTAAAGAATAATACCCGATTCTCCAATATGGGTCTCAGATTTTGTTTGACTTTGATAGGATATTTAAGACTGTGACTTCTGTAACAGTGTATACCTACATAGGTTCTTCTTCAATGTTCTTTGTAACAGTTTTTGGTTTTTTATTGTTTTTGTTTCACAGATTGGCTGGCTTTAAAGTAGTATAGTTTGTTCTGGTAGTGAAGACATAGGTTTTAAGACAACCTCAATAGCTGGGTGAATTTTGGCAAGTCGTAATATAATTTATTCTCGTAGTGAATATATTCATAGGTTATAAGATATTTACCATAAGCAAATATCAATAGCTGGGTAAATGTTAGAAAGTCGGTTAGAGCCCGACCCTCAGTTTCTCGCATATGCAATGAAGTTAGAAATGAGCTGCTGTACCATCCCACAGAGCTGCGAGAAATCATGAGCTGCTGGGGAAATTAGGTCACGGTACTTGACTGTTAACACTTACTAAGTGTAGCAATTAGCAGTTAATGGTGAATCTAGTCATGTATTTGCATTAGTTCTGGTACAACTTCTACTGGAAAACAAATTCTAGGGATGACTGGACCTCGTTTCATGTTCACTGATGAATGTTTTATGCTTAGTACCATACTTTCCTTAACATACATGACTCTCATTTATAAAACTCAGCCTTTAGATATTCCGAGTCCCAGTGTTAAGGCATTTGCTGATAATTCTCAATAATGGACTCCCATCCCCTTCCTGATTTCTAGCCAGCTTTTCAGATTTATATTCATCCTATTCGTAAATCCTCCATCTACTTCCAAAGGATTTCTAAATCATCCATGTAAAGCCCCTTAGATCTAAATAGTTAATTGCACCCTGTCCTCCAGAAACATTTTCTGTGTTATAGTCACTACTCTGATCTTCACTCCTGATGCTAGAAAGAGGTAAAGAGGGAACAGGGACTTTTAAGAAAATCCATATCATGCAATTTGAAAAATTATTACATGTATTTATTTGTTTGTTTAGTGGGGGGGGTGCAATCAATGGCATGTGCTTGGAGGTCAGGGAATATTTACAAGAGTTAGCTCTCTCCTTCCACCTGTGGCTCCAGGGACTAAACTCAATTGGTCAGTCAGGTTTGACAGCAGTGTCTTTAGCCAGTGAGACATGTCACCTGCTCCTTTACTTTTCTGATTGGAGGAGAATCCAGTCTTTGGAGATTCTGTACTGTGGCCTGGGAGGTGGGTAGTTTCAATAAAAGTCCAAGGTCTCTTTACTAGAGATGAGACTTCCATTGAGCCTCACCCAGAAAGAAAAATTCTTGCCTCTTTTTGACATGGAAGTCACATTATAAAGTTCCCTCTTCCTTTGTAGTTTCCAGATCTTGTATTCCTCTTGGTCTGTATTGTTACCACTGATTGAATATTATGAATGTAAATGGCTTCCCATATTGTGGAAGATAATTTACCTTTGTCCTTATTTACATTTGATAATCACACATTATTACCTAATTAGAGTAATTGGTAGAAGTGGTATTACATATAAATCAATTAAAGTAAATTTGATTTTATTAGATCTCTATGATAATTTAGTATCCTATGCTAAAAGCTTTTATTTATAAGATTTTTACTTGTAAGGTTGGAGAGATTGCTCAGTAGTTAGAGCACTTGCTGTTCTTGCAGAGGACAAGGTTTGGTTTCCAGCACCCACTTGGTGCCTCATAATCACCTGTAACTCCAGTTCTAGGGAATACATAACTGTCTTAAGGACTTTGCAGTCACTGATCACATATAGTGTACATACATTCATGTAGGTAAAACACTGTGAGATGTGAAACAAAAAATAAAATCTTAAAACACTTTTAAAGATATTTTAATGGTATATTTCTGGTTTTTAATTATAAAACTAGAGGACTTTTTTTATTTTTTTGTACCCATTATTGTTTGAATGTAATGTGTCTCCCATAAGCTCATGTATTTGTACAGTCAGTCTAGAGCTGTCCTTTAGAACCTTTAAAAGGCCATAGATCTATCTGGAGAGTGGACCTTGGAGGTTATATCTCCTCCCCACTTCCAGCTAAACTTTCTGCTTCCTGACTGGTGTCATGTAACCAGCAGCTGTTGAAGTTTTCTTCCCCTAAAGATCAAGCTGCTCCAGTCATGTGCCTTCCTCATCATAATGGATGGTGTCCCCTGGACTATAAGCCAACTGATCCCCCCTCCCTTAAGTTGTATCTGTCAAGTATTTGGTCACAATGATAAGAAAAAGCTGGTACAAATAGCTGACATAACTTCCCTTCAACCCCACCAAAAAGTATATAGACTCATTATTTTATTACTATTTTATTACATAAGGTTATCTTATTACATAAGGTTATATAAGGCCAGTCTCATGCAAGTATATAATATACTTTGAGGATATCCTATAACCCCCCTTCTTAATTTTCTCCCCTATCATTAGTACCTTTTGTTCTTCCAGACAGTTTGTATCTACACTCAAATCTATATGAGAGAGAAAAAAAGAGATAGCCATTTTTCTAAATCTGACTTAATTCACTTGATATTATTATCTCTGGTTACATTTATCTTCTTACAAACAATATAACTCCATTCTTGATAGCTGAAAAGGTTCCATTGTGTATATATACATTTTCTTAATCTATTCTATTGCTGGGCAAAGATCTATTTTTGTTATTATTAAATACTATTTACTATTATTTTGTTGAGAAATCTCTAGACAGATTTTTACAGTGGCTGGACTAGTTTACAATCTCATCAGCAATGTAAAAGTGTTGTTCCTTTTTGTATATATCCTTTCCAGTATTTGTTTACTTATTTTCTTCAGGACTGTCATTCTGGCTAGTGAAAGATGGAACCTAATTGTGGTTTTTATTTTAATATTCTGATGACTAGTGAGGTTTAACACATTTTTCATATTTATTGAACATTTTATACTTCACCTGAGAATCCTATGTTAACACCATTAGTTCACTTATAAATGAGAGATTTTGGTGTTTATGCTTTTATTTCCTTGATATTAAACAGATATCTGTTTAGCAAAGATTTTCTCCCATTTTGTAGATGATCTCTTCACTTTTTTTTTTTTTTTTCTGTTCAGAAAGTCTCATTTGTCAATTGTTGGCACTATTTCCTAAGCAACTGGACCCTTATTTAAAAGTGCTTCCCTATGCTGATATCTTGCAACATTCCTTGCAGCGAACTTCTCGACCAGCGAGAAAGAACAACCACCACACGAGGATTCTTCTCAGATCACGCTTTAATGGAGTGCCCTTGGTTGAGGGAGAGCAGAAAGTGAGAGGCCCCCGAGAGCACTAAAGCAGCTGCTTATATAGGAAGTAGGCACATGGTCGCCCTATGATTGGCTGCCATCATCAGCTGACACCAGACTGCATCGGGATAGGCCCAAGGACTCTAAACCACCGCGCATGCGGGAAGCAGGGGACACGCAGCTCCCAAAGGCATAGCCCAATATGGAGTTGTTTATTTCCAACAAGACAGGATGTCTGCGCCATCTTGTAATGGCGATCCTGTCTGGCTCCCTGCAATTCCTCCTTCATTTTCCTCTATTGTTTTCTGAGTTTTGTGTTATATAATAAGTTCTATATATTCATATTGAAGTTCCACATGATTTTCTTATTTTTCCTGACTCAACTGCATTAAAAAAACAAACAATCCACCCACAGTTTTAAATTGTAAAATGATGGAATTTTATGAAAAAACATCTTCAGATATTATTTCTCTGCTCTGCTTTAAAAGCTTTTGAATCTCTGAATTTCTCTGTGTCTATCCATTCTAGAATTATATTCATAGATAATATTGCCCCAAACAAGAATACTTCTAAAGATCAAATTTGTTAGAATAATTGGTGACAGGAGAGAAGCAGAGAAACTTTAGCCTTTTTCAGCTTTGATATTTCTGTGGTCCTTTCTAGGTCAGTGTAAGTCGCTGCCAAGGTATACTTTTGCTAAACCTATTATTGAGAGTGATAAGTCTGAGTTTGCTGTTGACACAACTTGGAAATACAAATGCCTCCCTGGGTATAGTGGGAAGCCATTCATAATCACCTGCTTAAAGAACTCCAAGTGGTCAGAGGCTCGGCAGCTCTGTAATCGTGAGTACTCCTAAAGCCATGTTTGTCTTCATCACTTTATCTGTACAGGATAGTATGCCATTTTCCAGACAAAAGACAAGTAAATTAGTATGTCATGGCAAGCAAAATAGGATGCCAGCCTCTTTGTTTCCTTTAACTCCTAAATTTTCTGAATGGTGTCTTCCCCCCATGCGAAGGTATCTTAAATTTACTATCTACTGGGGACTGGCCTGATATTTGCCAAGACTTACTTCTTATTATTGCCATTCTTTCCTAGAAGCCAAATGTGACCCTCCAGGACAGTTTCCCAATGGACAGATAAAAGAACCTATAGGTCTTCAGGTTGGCAAAATTGTGCACTTCTCCTGTAATGAAGGGTGAGTATCAGGAGGGTCTGTAAATTTTAATGCCCTTGGATTATATGTGCCTGCTGTGAACTATAATGTTGTCTGAGGTTTCTGTGTATCTTTGGCTATCCAGTTCTTGAAATCGTTAAGTCCCAAAGAAAATCACACAGAGGTCCTCATTAATCTACTGATTGGCCGATTACCTCAGGCTTTTATTAACTCTTATAACTTATATTAACCAATTATCCTTATCTGTGTTAGCCATATGACTCGGTACCTTTTTCAGTGAGGCAGTCACTGAGAGAGATGCTGGGCATCAGTGTGGTCTTTTGAAACCTCAGAACCCATTCCCAGTAACATGCTTCCTCCAGAAAGATCACAACTCCTAATCCTTTTAATATTTCTCAAATAGTGCTACTTCCTGATGACCAAGCATTCAAATATATGAGCCTGTGGGGTACATTCTTATTCAAACAACCACAATGTGTGTGTGTTATACCACAAAAAGTTAGAGAAGAGTTTAAATGAAAAACCAAACCTGGAAAACCAGATGCCACAGTCTTTGCATTGATAAATCCTGAACTAGACTGTGAGAAAGAAGTTGAAGAAACTGTGATGGCTGTGAGTTAGCATTGCAGGTACATGTTCGAGAGCAAAGCCATATAGTTGAATATAGCTGAAGAGGCAAAAGATAAATTCTTAGGTAAATACAACTTACTTACTACAACCTTCCAACAAAAGAAGCCTTAGGACAAATGATTTCACCACTGAATTCTAATGTATTTTATGAGGCCAGTACTATGCTAATACCAAAGCCAGACATGACAACAGAAGGAAATTAATGGACAATATCTTTAATAAACATGTTATAAACATTGTCTACAAATTACTAGCAGACAGAATTTATAAGTGTATACATTGGGGCTAATGAGATGAAGCTTCAACATCCATGTAAAAAAACCCAGCCATGGCTCCATGTGCCTGTAATCCCAGCACTGGGAGAATGAGAGAGAGAAAGATCCTAAGAGCTTGGTGGCCAGATAGCCTAGCCAAAAGAGTGAGTTTTCAGCCCAGTGAGAGCAATTTTTTTCTCAAGGCAGTAGACTAAGAGTGATAGAGGAAGATGCCTGGCATCTTGCTCTGAGTTCCTTGTGCACACATACGAGCACACTGTGTAGCACAATTAATAAAAACCCAGAGACAGAAATTGGAGTTCAACTTGAAGGTCAGAAAAGCAAAACAAACAGTCACTGGCTGTTACCTCTACCTCAGTCCAAAATGGCAATTCTGCCTCCAGGAATCTCAGAATTAGACTGTAAGTGAAGCATGCACCATTATCGCCCAGTTTCTATGGCAAACTAGTGTGGCTACTGGTGTTAAAGTTGTGTGCCACGACTGTCTCGTTTGTGAGGCTGATCTGTGTGGCTGTTTTACTCTCTGAACTTCGGCAGGCTTTGTTTACACAAATGAAATATCACCGCAGCACTGCCACACAGACCCCATGTACACTCATACAACATACCCACTGTCTACATCATGATGAAGTGGGATTTATCCCTGTAATGAAAACTTGACAATGTACAAATAAAACGTGATATATCGCACTGACAGAATGAGGTGTAAAAACATAGCCATTACTAGAAGAAAAGACATTTGAAATTCAAATTTTCCGTTGTTAGAAAAGCTCTTTAAAAGTTATTCATAAAAGGATTAGAGATTCTGCATATATTTTCCACATATGACAAGCCTACAACTAACATTGTTCTCAGTGGTGAAAAGCAGTCTTTTCTTTAAGATTAGGAGCACAAAAGCATTTTTATCATTCTCAAAGGAAAGCTTTCCCTGTCCTATCTCTACGGATCTCCCTGATTTTGGACTTCCTTGAATATCCATCAGTAGGTAAGTGGTTAAGTGAGTGGTGGTACATCCATGCTGTGAACTCTAACTTATAACAGAAAGGATTGCTTGATAAACCTCCAGTTATTATGCTGAGTAGAAAGCTAATCATATATGGTTACATTCTATATGATTCTTTATATAACTTTTGTAAATTATATAATTATAGAAGTAGTAACCAGCAATAAGAATATGCTAGGAAAATTGGGAATAGGAAGATGAAAAGTGAGTGCCACAGTAACTAGACAGAACAAGAGATCTTGTGTCAATTTTAATTCTTTCTGTGGTAGAAAATACACAAGCTTACATGTAAAATTGTATCCTCTTTTCCACTGGTTGCTGGTGGCACATGACTTTTCCCCAGCATTTGGATCTCTGAGTTTAAGGCCAGCCTGGACTACAGAGTGAGTTCCAGGACAGTCAAAAAGAAACGCAGAGAAATCCTGTCTCAAACAAACAAACAAAAAAGAAAGAAAAAAAGAAAGAGGAAAAAAATTTTAAAAAGTTTCTTTCACATAGGAAAAGAAGCAAGTGAAATTTAAAACACAATCCTTTACAGTTGCACTTCCCAAAATGACTTTTTTTTAAATAAATCTAACATAATAGTTATAAGAGTTAAGTTGCTGTGAAATAAGTGTCATGACTTGTTTTAATTTTATGACATACTAGACAATTTACCGCATAATAATTGAGTATTTCTGACTTTAATCAAGTATTGCTGTTTTTGTTCAACTTTGGTCAGATTTGAGCTTCTATGTTCTACATTAATGAATCTTGCTGATAAGGCATAACCTTATCTAGGCATTCACATTACTGTTTTCAAGGTATAAATTAATTAATTCATATTAGTATAATATACATATACACATGACATTTCTTTTACCCTCAAGAAGCTTGTAATGTCTTTAAAAATAAGATTTATAGGAAACAATTATAATTTATTGCAGATTGCATGATAACATAATAAAAAGAAAAATCTCATTTAGTTAGGAAGACATTAAGAAGAAAAATCAAAAAGTCCAAAGAAGGATTTAAGATTTCAGAACTCATGGTCTTTGACAAGAAAAGAAAAAATGTCCTGAAGCTTTTAAGGTAGTAATCTCTGGGAAGCAGCAATTTAAGCAGGCAATTACTTACGAATTAATTAACATTCTTTATTCTGTGTATAGATACCGCCTCATTGGTTCCTCTACAGCTATGTGCATAATCTCAGATAACGGTCTCATTTGGGATAACGAAGCACCTATTTGTGACAGTAAGTTGAAATTTTTTATTTCTATCACCTTTACTCATGTACTTTAAATTTTTTCTGGAATTATACAATTTTTGCAGATCTAAGATTGAACCCAGGGCCTCATGCCTGTTAGGAAGTACTCTATCACAGATGTAAACCTAAAGCCCTATAAATTGTTATTAAAATTGCTCTCGTATAATCTGTTTTTCAAGAAAATGATGTTCTGGCTAGTTTTGTCTTAATTTGACATAAGCTAGAATCATATTGAGAATAGGAATTCTTGGTTGAGAAAATGCCTCCGTAAGTCTGTAAGGCATTTCTTAATTAGTGATCTCTGTGGGAGAGCCTAGTCCATTGTGGGTAGTGTCAGTCCTGGGCTCGAGGTCCTGGGTTCTATAAAAAAGCTGGCTGAGCAAGCCATGAGGAACGTAAGCTTCCATGGCCTCTGCATCAGCTTGTGCCTTCAGGTTTCTTCCTGATTAGAGTTCCTGCCTTAGCTTCTCTCAGTTGAACATGTTAGGATGTAAGCCAAATAAACTCTTTCTTCCTCAAGTTGCTTTTGGTTATGGTTTTTTGTTTTCATCACAGCAATAGTAACTCTAAGACAGAAGACAACTACAACATTCTTGAACTACAACATTCTTTAAGTTCTCCTTGGTCCTGGGATGTTCCTTTTCTAACTGTAGAATGTGTAAATGTAAAAAGCTTTCCAATCTTATTTTTATCTCAGTTCACTTTAAGTTGTGTAACACCCGACTTTGTGTTACACTCTCGGTACAGTTTGCGTGCCACTGTACCAAACATGAGTCGGGCAAAGGCCTGGAGATGGAAAAGAAGACACAGAGAGACCAGGGTCATTCGAAAGGAGATCAGCCAAATGCCACTTTATTCAGCCTTTGGGAAGTCCTTATCTACCTAACTGCAGCACAAGGATTTCCACCCAGGCAGGTGGGAAATTACCATATTAACAATGGAGTGAATTCCCTGCAGCTAACCACCAGGCAGGGCAGGCACAGCACAGAAACACACAGGAAGCTTAGTTAGTTGATCATAAACTGTCCCTGAGGATGCACCACAGGAATAAGGGAAACCAGGGCCCTACAAAGTTGTGTTTGTTTTTCAATCTCTAATATAACTATCATCCTGCTTGGCAATTTAATAAAATTTTTGTCCATATTTTTTAAGGTTAGTGAAGCTGTGGGCTAACCTACACTTTCACATGTTGTAAACCAAGTTTCTGTCCTGCCCAGACCTACAGCCATTCAGTCCCAAAGAAACACACAGAGGCTTATAACAATTATAAACTGTTTGGCCTATTAGCCCAGGCTTATTATTAACTAGGTCTTACAACTTAAATTAACCCATAATTCTTGTCTGTGTTTAGCCATGTGGTGTAGTACCTTTTATCAGTGCAACATCGTCATCTTATTTCCTCTGTAACTGGGTGGTGACTGCTTCTGGCCTTTCCTTGTTCCAGAATTTTCCTAGCCTGGATGCCCCACCTATATTTCTGCCTGGCTACTGGCCAATCAGTGTTTTATTTTTACAGTGTACAAAAGCATTATCCCACAGCAACATATGAAACATTTAAACATATACATTTTGTGTAAAAAAGAATCAAAATTCAAACTGCATGTATTCTCCTATTAAAACACAGAATAACTAGTTATAGCTCTGTCTGTACATTTATCTGTTTAATTATCTAAAATTTATATAACTTAAGCCCACTAAATAGCTCTAAGTCCCTGGGGGAAAGTTAGAAGAAATTTTGGAATATTTGATAGTAGGCTATGTCCTGCAGAAGATTATTTCCTGTTTATGTGAATTTTTCTAGACCTATAAACCAATTCAACCTCTTTTACAGTAATTCACTGTAAATGTTTGTCCACCCGACAGATATCTCATCTCACAAATAAGTCATATAACACTGTCCATAGTTACATGGTGATGATCTTGATAGTCAGATCATTCTGTTGTTTCCATAGCATAATACTAATGATCAAAATGTCTAAAATGATTTGAATTTTCATTGATACTAATTCTGCATGTTTGTGGAATGACTGTTCAAACCTGATATGCATTATTTACTAGTTTATTTACTTATTTTATAGAAATTCTTGTACATAGTTTCATATTTTCCAATAAATAAAATAATTATGTTTTCTTTTGGCTATGGCCTGTCTTTTTTTTTCTTTTTGAAAATAGAAATTCTTCATTTTGATATTATTAACTTTCTTATTTTATCCTTCTAATTACTGATTTTTCTGTTCAAGAAATCTTTGAGTATTATGATTACATTTTTTTATCTTATAGTCTAAAAACTTTGTTGTTAATATTATTTTTCAAATTTTCCTTTCAGTTAACAACAGATTTGCAAATTAATAGACAAAGAAGAAAAATCTGAAAGCTGATATGAACTCTGTAATATATCAAAGAGCTATTTCAAACGAAGAGGTCAATTGTATTTGTAACTTCATGTACTTATAAGATAAGAGAAAAGTAGGAAAACTTTACAGAAAAAAGTAGGTGCACATGTTGTTATGTGTGCCTAAATAACAACATTTTAAAACTCATCTATAAATCTATAAATATTAAATACTTTTAATGAACATTTGAGTATATAAGGAGTATAAGTATCTTCAATTCAGTGATTCATTGGATTTCCCCTATTTATATAAAATATAATCTGTTTTCTTTGCCCAGGAATTCCTTGTGAAGCACCCCAAGCCATTACCAATGGAGAGTTCGTTGCTCCTACAGAAGATTTTTATTATGGAATGGTGGTCACCTATCGCTGCAAAACTGGTGATAGAGGGGAAAAGCTCTTTAATCTGGTGGGTGAACCATCCTTACACTGTACCAGCAGTGATGGTGAAGTTGGAGTCTGGAGTGGCCCTCCTCCTCAGTGCATTGAACTTGGCAAATGTACACCTCCCCATGTTGAAAATGCAGTCATGGTGTCTGAAAGCAGAAGCTTGTTTTCCTTAAGAGATACTGTGGAGTTTAGATGTCAGCCTGGCTTTATCATGGAAGGAATCAGCAGTGTACAGTGTCAAGACCTAAACAAATGGGAGCCAGAGTTACCAAGCTGCTTCCAGGGTAAGTCTGATCAGGGCTTGGGGAGCATGACATGCCATGGGGTGTTGGAGGACCAGAGGTAAAGGTTGGTTCTGGAAGAGGGCATATGGTGAACAGGTTGGATGAGTAAATTTTCTTGGGAGGGAATGTGAAATCAAGAAGGGTCATGTGTTTGTGGTGTTTGTGCACCTTCACAACACATCCATTCAAACTGAGAAGAAGCTGAATATGAACAAGGAATGTGATACATCCTGGGAATTCTCATACACAGAAGTTCTTTTCATGTATTGCCATCTCCAGCCCTTCTCAGTTATTCATATACCTAATATTTACTAATATGTAATGAGTGATCCTTGGCTAGTCATATTAAATACATGCATATTTAATTCCTAAAATGAAACTATGGGGTAGTTATTATTTTTGCCATATTGAGGCTTAGGGGTTAGATAGTTTTCCAAGACGATATAGATACTAACTTGCAGAGCAAAGATTAAAATCCAGGTCTTTCCATTTGGCAGATCCTCCCAAGGAATGAAGACTTTCCTGTGGGTGATAATGGGTAATAGAGATATTAGAAGGATAGGAAGAGTAAAAGGAAAACAATGTTGCCAAAGATCAGGGAACTACTGTTACTCAAGAATAGAGCTGACACATCGGGCCCTACTCTGGCTGACACTGTCAACCTCTGTCATGGCTGACACAGCCAGACCCTGCTACTTCTTCCAGGATAGAGCCAGTCCTTGCTGTCATTAGTGTTGCTGACTGCTGCTCACTTGAGAGGTCATCAAGGCTGCCTCAACTTATGCTGTCCCTGGATACATAAAGGTGTCTATCACATCTCTTGTCCTTTAGTTTGATATATATGTCTTCCAGGTGGCAGAACTTAATTAGAGCCCCTGGAGCAGTGGTTTTCTATCTATGCAATGGGACCCATTTGGCTAACCTTATCTCCAAAAATATTTACATAGTAAAAGTAACAAAATTACAGTTATGAAGTAGCAACGAAAAAAATTTTCGGAATGGGGGTCACCAGAACATGAGGAACTGCTATTCGAGGATCACAGCTTTAGGAAGGTTGAGAACCACTGTCCTAGAGACCTAGAGCAAAGAAGTCATAGTGTTCATGTTTTTACCCATAACAATCAAAAGGCATTATATAGTATGAAACTGAGAATCAATAGAAATTTAACCAGATTATTCTTTAAATATCAAGGGAAACTCTTGAGAGATGAGCCCTCAAAGCAATTATTATAACATCAAAAATATTTGGAAATCCTTAAGAAAGTCATTTATTCTAGACCAATATTCTAAAGTTCAAGGCTAGCCTGGTCAACAGAGCTAGTTCACAACAGTCAAGGCTACACAAATAAAATCCCTGTCTTAAAAAACAAAACAAAAAAGATATTGGGAGTAATATAACCTTAGTGTACATCATAGAGAGAAACCAATAAATTCAAGATTTATCAGTTATAGTCACAGTGTCTTCATTGTATAGTCACTTTTGGCAGAAAGGTTGTTTATTCTGTCATACATAAATAAAGTTGTTCCTTTTTTTCTTCTTTTATTTCCCACAAAGTTGTGATCCTCTTGGCATGTGTGATCCAGTTTACCATTGAGGGAATTTTTTTTCACTTCATGAAACTTTCTTCCTTAACATGTCACTTGCCTCTCGAAATCCAGCATTAGGAGTGTACCCCAAACAAAGATGGTGTTTTTATCCAAAGCTGAAACTGCTCTAGCACTATGAGCCAGGCTACACATTAGAGTCCTGTGGCTCCTGCATGTGTGGGTCTCCAGACTGTCATCTGGATTGATATTTACGGCTTGTGTTTATATTTTCCACACACAGTTATTTCTGTTTGACTCTTTTTCTTCAGTGAAATCCTGTGGTCCTTTCCTGGAACAGCTCCCTAATGGGAATGTACTATTTCCACTAAATCTTCAAATTGGGGCTAAAGTGTCCTTCGTTTGTAATAAAGGGTAAGTGTGAGCAGGCCCAATTTATCTGTCTGAGCTTGTCCGAGGTATGAGAAGGTTGGTATGGGGAAGAGAACTTCTGCTATTGTTTATAGGAAAGACTGGTGACTTGTGGTATTCATAAAAAGAGATATGAAGGAAAAACTGGGATGTTTATTAAATTACAGGTTCAAAAACAAGTGTATCTACTGGTTTTAAATATATAGGTAATGCACTAAGTGAAAAAAATCATTTTCTAAATAGAAAATAATGCTAGTAATTTTGAGGGACATTACATGTTACAAAAGCTTATACAGTTAACAATGTATTTAGCAATGTTTTAGGGAAAAAATTAATGCTTTATTAATGGAATTTATAAGAGAAGCAAAAAATAAGGTGCAGTGTTTGAAAGCCCAGTCATGTGTCATTAGACCAGCAACGGGCTGTGGGCTCTAAAATGGGAGCATGGCATCCAATGTTAATATTTCAGGTGAGATCATAAACATTCTACAAGCAGACCTGCCTCTGTCAAACTACCAATCCTCACCAACAAAGAACCTGCTCTCCAGTGCTTCACAGAATCCTTGGCAGCACCAAGTACCAGGACCAAATAAGAATTAGGAATACAGAAGGGTATAAATATCCTTTGAGAATTTTGGATGGCTTTATACAAAAGTTGGCTCCTTTCCACTTTCCATTTTTCTCTTCAGTCCCAGTGCTTTAAAAGGAAAGACCAAGAAACAGAAACAAAAACAAGCAAAAGGAGACCTGTACCTAAAAGGTGCCTGCTTCTCTGAATTACTGAGAAAATAAGTGTAACTTATTCTTCAGTAGCCCAGCATGCTGTAGTGAGCTTCCTAGACAATAATAGCAGAAACTGAGACATAAGAACAATCTCTATTTCCTACCAGTTAACTCAGCTTTCCCAGTGCCAGAGTTGGCAAGGTGTTGCGTTAGCAGTCTGGGTTTGCAGTTGTGACAGCGAGCAGTACTGGATTCCTTTTAGCATGATCAGTGCTGAGTAAGGGTCCAGGGTCTGGCTGTGCCCTGACTGCTTTCTTTAGTTTAAGCTAGGACTTTATATGATAAGTCTCTTTGCCTTGCAATTCTGTTTTACCCACCTGCTAAGTGGTAAAACTACCTGTGGTAGTTAAGTGGCTTAGCATCTGCACACCCTTTCCACCTCCTGGTTCCATTTCCTAAAATCCTCAAATGCTTTTTTGACTAGACCTGGAAAATGAGTATTACTCTGGCCAAATCATTTTACAGTACACTACCATTTTCTTCCTTAGGTTTCAATTAAAAGGCAATTCTGCTAGTTACTGTATTCTGGCTGGAAGGGACAGTATTTGGAATAGCAGTGTTCCTGTGTGTGAACGTGAGTATATATAGCAATACTTTTTTTTAATATTTATTTATTTATTGTGTATACAACATTCTGCCTCGATGTATGCCCACATGCCAGAGGGAGGCACCAGATCTCAGTACAGATGGTTGTGAGCCACCATGTGGTTGCTGGGAATTGAACTCAGGACCTCTGGAAGAGCAGCCAGTGCTCTTAACCTCTGAGATATCGCTCCAGCCCCTATATAGCAATATTTTAATGTAGTTGCTCTCTCTAACTTCTTGTTAATTATTCTACCTTTCAGTATTTGTTCTATATTCTAGTCTGACTTTCTGACAGAAGTTGATTAATAAAATTTTGTTTTTATTATCTCCTTGCTTTGGAAACTCTTTGATTAGCTTCCATCATTCTGAACTTTGTGTTGATGTGTGATATTTCCTGTGTAGTTTGCTACTAGGACAAGACTTTGACAAGTTTCTCTTCTCTTTCCTCCCCTTCTTGCTTCCCTGTGTTTTTCTTTTATGTTCTGTCATCAATATGCAAACACTTATTCATATTTATTTGGTAATATGCATATATAAAACAAATGTCCACTTAATTAATTATTGAGCAAAAGTTATGTGCTTTATTTTCACCAGCACTGGAATTATAATGGTGATAAAGATGAGCTAATTTTCAGACTCCATATTATATGTACTTAAGTAGGAAGATGAACAAGAAACAAATTGAATACTATGGAGTTAATACATCAGATAATAGGTAATAGATCAGAGGAAATGAGAATGAGGAAAATTAGGTAAACCACATCAGACTGAGTAGGAAAGGTAACATTCTTAAAGTCTCAACGTAAGCATATAAAATATGCTGAAATATTAAGAAATAAAAAGATTAAAAAGAAAAGCTCTTATACAAAATCACTGCTTATTTCTCCTACTTGTTACTTGTTCTATAAAAACTTTCCAAAAGTTTGCCAACACTTGTAAAATATTTATTTGAGGTGTATGGGTGTTTTGCCCGCATGTATGTCTGTGCATTGTGTGCATGCCCGTTGCCATAGAGGCCAGAAAAGGGTGTCAGATTCACAGATCTTGGAGTCACAGATGGTTTTAAGCCACTGTGAGAGTGTTGGGAATAAAACCCAGGTCCTGTGGAAGAGTAGTCAGAGCTCATAACCATGGAGCCATTTCTCCAGTCCCAGTGGTTTTTGTTTTTAACAGTAAATTTTAAATTTCTTATAGGCCATAGATGTGCACTTCATAAGTTGCCTACTTCTCTGAATTACATGGAAAGACAAGACTTTTATTGCTTTTCTTTCTATTGCTTTCCTAACGTTTTGTACTCACTTTGTGTGTAATTCCCCTCCTCACTGTGAGGCTGCAAGTCTATCTTGTGGCCGATTTCCATGCTTGCTTGACTCAGACAGCATAGGGTTTTTTTTTTCTTTTTCATTCATTCTTCCAACTTTGCATCTCCATCTTCTTCCAAGCAACTGCTGACATTTACAGCTTGCATGTTCCTGATTTCTTTTTAATGTCTAAAATAAAAATTGTCCTCAAACTTTAAAAAAGTGAATAAATCAACTAACCTTTAGTTGCTAGAAATCCACTTGAGCATCTTATGATGTTTTCCACAACATAGCGTGTGTGTGTGTTTGTGTGTGTGTGTGTGTGTGTGTGTGTAAAATCTTTGCTATCCAGGAAACTTTACACGGAAGCAGTATGACCAATGGCTCTTCTACCACCATGCACTAGAACTCTTTGACATATTTCCTGGTTTTTTTCCACTCATTGTGAAACTACTGTAATAATGAGACTGATGGTTGACATCAGTGAGTCATTAAGGGAAGATCTCATTCCTTTAAGGTGTTTAGTATACATGGAATGCATTTTAGAAAGATGCCCTAAGAATGTAAGCTTCTTTGAGGATAAATATCTGCCAGCACTCTTCTCTACTGTTCCCCCAGTTGCTGGTAAAGGCTGAAACAAGGATGACTCCAAGCAATAGTGAATACTTAGCATAAACTAGCCATCTCCTATGATCAGATTGTTGACTACCCCAGTTGTCACCAGAGAGCCTTCATCCAGTAACTGATGGGAACAGATGCAGAGATCCACAGCCAAATAATAGGTTGAGCTTGGGGAATCCTGCTGAAGAGGCAGAAGGAGGATTGTAAGGTGCAGAGGGGTCAAGGTCATCACAAGAAAACCCACAGAAACAAGTGACCTAACTGAGGAATTCAGAGTCTGAGTCAACAACCAGGGAGCCTGTGTAGGTTAGACCAACCTAGGTTCTCTACAAATATGTGTCAGTTGTATAGCTTGGTTTACTGCAACTCCTAATAATAGGAGCAGGGGCTGTCTCTAATGCTTTGGCTGCCTCTTAGGAACCTATTCCTCATACTGGATTGCCTTGCCCAGCCTGAATACTGCAATTTGATATGCCATGCTTTGTTGATACTCATGTGAGTCTTGCTCCTATCTGAACAAAAATGGAGGGGAGCGCAGGAGGACTACAAAGGCAGCTTTACTGGTCATTGTGTTTTAGCTGGAATGAACAGCAGTGTTCCTGTGTGTGGATGTGAGTAGAAAGCTTACCTTAACCATGCAGCCTGGATTGCACTCCCGATTTTCTCTCCCGGTGTGCTGTCCCTCATCGAATTTCCTTTGCCCACAGATCTTTACTAAACTACTTATTTGTTGGAAATATTTCAAGTAAAGCCTTATAAGTAGGTGTTTGTGGTTTATCAACATGTGGTATGTTGATGTTGAATTTTGTGGGGAATATGGCGGAAGAAACTAGGTGATATAAAAGTACATGAAATGATACCTATTTGTTGTATTTATTAGTTTCGTCATCAGGGGTTGATCTCTCTTAAATTGTCATGCTCTTTTATCCCCTCACTGATGTATTTATTAGGCCATTGTCTTCTCTATGGCATTTACTGACAAAAGCTTCTGTATCAGGACTTTGTATGTGTGGAAAGAGTAACAAATAGGTTAGAGCCATTCATATTTTCATAAAGTTAATTTTCCAGTTGGAAACAAATAAAGAACAGGAAAATAAATATTTTTTTTAAAAAAATCACAATATATCACTAGCATGATAATAGTGAAGTGTGATAAGAAAATAAAAATTTATATAAGAATTTATTATGGTACAGGAAGTGGGAGCAGTAAGTCAATCTTTTTTTTTAACTTTTTTTTTTATTGAGAAAAGAAAAAAAAAACAAATTTCCTCCTCCTCCCAGCCTCCCATTTCCCTCCCCCTTCTCCCACCCTTCTCCCCCTCCCCCCACTCCTCTCCCCCTCCCTCTCCAGCCCAAAGAGCAGTCAGATTTCCCTGCCCTGTATTAAGTCCTAGGTCCTCCCCCCTCCGTGCATTTCTAGGAAGGTGAACATCCAAACTGGCTAGGCTCCCACAAAGCCAGCACATTACGTAGGTTCAAAACCCTGTGCCATTGTCCTTGGCCTCTCATCAGCCCTCATTGTTCGCCATGCTCAGAGAGTCCAGTTTTATCCCATGCTTTTTCCGTCACAGTTCAGCTGGCCTTGGTGAGCTCCCAATAGATCAGCTCCACTGTCTCAGTGGGTGGGTGCTCCCCTCGTGGTCCCGACTTCTTTGCTCATGTTCTCCCTCCTTCTGCTCCTCATCGGGACCTTGGGAGCTCAGTCCAGTGCTCCAGTGTGGGTCTCTGTCTCTGTCTCCATCCATCACCAGATGAAGGTTCTATGATGATATGCAAGATATTCGTCATTATTGCTCTAGGATAGGGTCAATTCAGGTTCCCCATCCTCAGCTGCCCAAGGAACTAACTGGGGACCTCGGCTTGGGTATCTGGGAGCCACTCTAGGTTCAAGTCTCTTGCCAACCATAAGGTGGCTCCCTTAACTAAGAACCGTGCTTCCATGCTCCCCCATCCAACCTTCCTTCATCCCAATCCTCCCCCTTCCCCAAGCTCCCCCCAATCTCCCCCTCTCCCCCCTCTCTCCCCATCTCCCCTTACCCCCATCCCACCCCACCCCCAAGATCAATTTTCTCCCGGGCAATTTTGTCTACTTCCCATAGCCAAGAGGGCAACTATATGCTTTTCCTTTGGTTCACCTTCTTACTTAGCTTCTTTGGGATCACCAAGTGTAGACTCCGTGACCCTTGTTTATGGCTAGAAACCAATTATGAGTGAGTACATCCCATGTTCATCTTTTTGGGTCTGGGATACATCACTCAGGATAGTGTTTTCTATTTCCATCCATTTGCATGCAAAATTTGAGAAGTCATTGTTTTTTAACGCAGCATAGTACTCTAATGTGTAGATATTCCACACTTTCTTCATCCATTCTTCCATTGAAGGGCATCTAGGTTGTTTCCAGGTTCTGGCTATTACAAATAATACTGCTATGAACATAGTTGAACAAATGCTCTTGTCATGTGATAGGGCATCTCTTGGGTATATTCCCAGGAGTGGTATTGCTGGGTCCAGGGGTAAGTTGATCCCGAATTTCCTGAGAAACCGAAACACCGATTTCCAAAGTGGTTGCACAAGATTGCATTCCCACCAGCAATGGATGAGTGTTCCCCTTCCTCCACAGCCACTCCAGCAAGGGCTATCATTGGAGTTTTTTATTTTAGTCATTCTGACAGGTGTAAGATGATATCTCAAAGTTGTTTTGATTTGCATTTCCCTGATTGCTAAGGAGGTTGAGCATGACCTTAAGTGTCTTTTGGCCATTTGAACTTCCTCTGCTGAGAATTCTCTGTTCAGTTCAGTGCCCCATTTTTTAATTGGGTTAATTAGCATTTTAAAGTCTAGTTTCCTGAGTTCTCTATATATTTTTTAGATCAGACCTTTGTCTGTTGCAGGGTTGGTGAAGATCTTCTCCCAGTCAGTAGGTTGCCTATTTGTCTTGGTGACAGTGTCCTTTGCTTTACAGAAGCTTCTCAGTTTTAGTAGGTCCCATTTATTCAATGTTGCCCTTAAAGTCTGTGCTGTTGGGGTTACACATAGGAAGCGATCTCCTGTGCCCATCTCCTGTAGGGTACTTCCCACTTTCTCTTCTATCAGGTTCACTGTGTTCTGACTGATAGTGAGGTCTTTAATCCATTTGGACTTGAGTTTTGTGCATGGTGATAGATATGGGTCTATTTTCATTCTTCTACAGGTTGACATCCAGTTATGCCAGCACCATTTGTTAAAAATGCTTTCTTTCTTCCATTGTATACTTTTGGCTCCTTTATCAAAAATGAGGTGTTCATAGGTTTGTGGGTTAAAATTCGGGTCTTCTATACGATTCCATTGGTCAACTTCTCTGTTTTTATGCCAGTACCACACTGTTTTCATCACTGTAGCTCTGTAATAGAGTTTGAAGTCAGGGATGGTAATGCCTCCAGACAATCCTTTATTGTATAGGATTGTTTTGGCTATCCTGGGTTTTTTGTTTTTCCATATAAAGTTGATTATTGTCCTCTCAAGATCTGTGAAGAATTTTGATGGGACCCTGATGGGGATTGCATTGAATTTATAAATTGCCTTTGGTAGAATTGCCATTTTTACAATGTTGATCCTCCCAATTCAAGAGCAAGGAAGGTCCTTCCATTTTCTGGTCAATCTTTAACATGATGGAGGACCATTTATTTCCAAACCATATGCTTACAAAAAACACCTAGAATTTTTTTAATCTATTTGTAAATAGATTAAAGTACATGTTTTCTATATAAAACATTACGCATCTATCTTACTTATATGTCCTAAAGCAAAGCAAGTCAGTTTTTTAAATTCTAATATTCCTTTTGATTATAAAATGTCAATTTCAAGTAAAATTTAATAAAATAAATTGCTAGATACCTATTTGTATGCTTTATGGCAAAAATTTATAGGCATATTCAATGCATAAGAAATTGTGGTATTGAACCAATGCACAGACAGTAAGACTGGCAGTAAATATACCAGCTGTGAATTAGAAAGTGAGATAAAATATGTTTGTTTTTGGTTTCTAAACAAAATCTCATCTCTAGAACCATCTGATCTGGCACAAAAACATCTTTGTAGTTATCTGATGACACCATAGTATATTTGTTTGGTACTGATAATGGCCTTGAATCACTAAGAAACATTTGCTTTGCTAAAGTGCATGTTTCAGACAGGTTTCCCTAGAATTTAGTGTTTGTGTGACCAAAGCTTCACTAGTTTATTTACTTATTTTATAGAAATTCTTGTACATAGTTTCATATTTTCCAATAAATAAAATGAGTATGATTTCTTTTGGCTATGGCCTGTCTTTTTTTTCTTTTTGAAAATAGAAATTCTTCATTTTGATATTATTAACTTTCTAATTTTATCCTTCTAATTACTGATTTTTCTGTTCAAGAAATCTTTGAGTATTATGATTACATTTTTCCATCTTATAAGGCTAAAAACTTTGTTGTTAATATCATTTTTCAAATTTTCCTTTCAGTTAACAACAGATTTGCAAATTAATAGACAAAGAAGAAAAATCTGAAAGCTGATATAAACTCTGTAATATATCAAAGAGCTATTTCAAACGAAGAGGTCAATTGTATTTGTAACTTCATGTATTTATAAGAGAAAAGTAGGAAAACTTTACAGAAAAAAGTAGGTGCACATGTTGTTATATGTGCCTAAATAACAACATTTTAAAACTCATCTATAAATCTATAAATATTAAATACTTTTAATGAACATTTGAGTATATAAGGAGTATAAGTATCTTCAATTCAGTGATTCATTGGATTTCCCCTATTTATATAAAATATAATCTGTTTTCTTTGCCCAGGAATTCCTTGTGAAGCACCCCAAGCCATTACCAATGGAGAGTTCGTTGCTCCTACAGAAGATTTTTATTATGGAATGGTGGTCACCTATCGCTGCAAAACTGGTGATAGAGGGGAAAAGCTCTTTAATCTGGTGAGTAAACCATCCTTACACTGTACCAGCAGTGATGGTGAAGTTGGAGTCTGGAGTGGCCCTCCTCCTCAGTGCATTGAACTCGGCAAATGTACACCTCCCCATGTTGAAAATGCAGTCATGGTGTCTGAAAGCAGAAGCTTGTTTTCCTTAAGAGATACTGTGGAGTTTAGATGTCAGCCTGGCTTTATCATGGAAGGAATCAGCAGTGTACAGTGTCAAGACCTAAACAAATGGGAGCCAGAGTTACCAAGCTGCTTCCAGGGTAAGTCTGATCAGGGCTTGGGGAGCATGACATGCCATGGGGTGTTGGAGGACCAGAGGTAAAGGTTGGTTCTGGAAGAGGGCATATGGTGAACAGGTTGGATGAGTAAATTTTCTTGGGAGGGAATGTGAAATCAAGAAGGGTCATGTGTTTGTGGTGTTTGTGCACCCTCACAACACATCCATTCAAACTGAGAAGAAGCTAAATATGAACAAGGAATGTGATACATCCTGGGAATTATCATACACAGAAGTTCTTTTCATGTATTGCCATCTCCAGCCCTTCTCAGTTATTCATATACCTAATATTTACTAATATGTAATGAGTGATCCTTGGCTAGCCATATTAAATAAATGCATATTTAATTCCTAAAATGAAACTATGGGGTAGTTATTATTTTTGCCATATTGAGGCTTAGGGGTTAGATAGTTTTCCAAGACGATATAGATACTAACTTGCAGAGCAAAGATTAAAATCCAGGTCTTTCCATTTGGCAGATCCTCCCAAGGAATGAAGACTTTCCTGTAGGTGATAATGGGTTATAAAGATATTAGAAGGATAGGAAGAGTAAAAGGAAAACAATGCTGCCAAAGATCAGGGAACTACTGTTACTCAAGAATAGAGCTGATACATCGGGCCCTACCATGGTTGACACTGTCAACCTCTGTCATGGCCAGACCCTGCTACTTCTTCCAGGATAGAGCCAGTCCTTGCTGTCATTAGTGTTGCTGACTGCTGCTCACTTGAGAGGTCATCAAGGCTGCCTCAACTTATGCTGTCCTTGGATGCATAAATGTGCCTATCACATCGCTTGTCCTTTAGTTTGATATGTATGTCTTCCAGGTGGCAGAACTTAATTAGAGCCCCTGGAGCAGTGGTTTTCTATCTATGCAATGGGACCCATTTGGTTAACTTTATCTCCAAAAATATTTACATTATGATTCAGTAAAAGTAACAAAATTACAGTTATGAAGTAGCAACAAAAAAAATTTTGGGAATGGGGATCACCAGAACATGAGGAACTGCTATTCGAGGATCACAGCTTTAGGAAGGTTGAGAACTACTGTCCTAGAGCAAAGAAGTCGTAGTGTTCATGTTTTTACCCATAACAATCAAAAGGCATTATATAGTATGAAACTGAGAATCAATAGAAATTTAACCAGATTATACTTTAAATATCACAGCTCATGTATTAGTCAAGGGAAACTCTTGAGAGATGAGCCCTCAAAGCAATTATTATAACATCAAAAATATTTGGAAATCCTTAAGAAAGTCATTTTTTCTAGACCAATATTCTAAAGTTCAAGGCTAGCCTGGTCAACAGAGCTAGTTCAGAACAGTCAAGGCTATACAAAAAAAAAAAAAAAAACCTCCTGTCTTAAAAAACAAAACAAAAAAGATATTGGGAGTATTATAACTTTAGTGTACATCATAGAGAGAAAACAATAAATTCAAGATTTATCAGTTATAGTCACAGTATCTTCATTGTATAGTCACTTTTGGCAGAAAGGTTGTTTATTTTGTCATATATCAATAAAGTTGTTCCTTTTTTTTCTTTTATTTCCGACATAAAGTTGTGATCCTCTTGGCATGTGTGATACAGTCTACAATTGAGGGAATTTTTTTCACTTCATGAAAGTTTTTTTCCTTAACATGTCACCTGCCTCTAGAAATCCAGCACTAGGAGTGTACCCCAAACAAAGATGGTGTTTTTATCCAAAGCTGAAACTGCTCTAGCACTATGAGCCAGGCTACACATTAGAGTCCTGTGGCTCCCGCATGTGTGGGTCTCCAGACTGTCATCTGGATTGATATATATGGCTTGTGTTTATATTTTCTACATACTGTTATTTCTGTTTGACTCTTTTTCTCCAGTGAAATCCTGTGGTCCTTTCCTGGAACAACTTCCTAATGGGAATGTACTATTTCCACTAAATCTTCAAATTGGGGCTAAAGTGTCCTTCATTTGCAATAAAGGGTAAGTGTGAGCAGGCCCAATTTATCTGTCTGAGCTTGTCCAAAGTATGGTAAGGTTGATCTGGGGAAGAGAACGTCTGCTATTGTTTATAGGAAAGACTGGTAACTTGTGGAATTCATAAAAGGAGATATGAAGGAAAAACTGGGATGTTTATTAAATGACAGGTTCAAAAACAAGTGTATCTACTGGTTTTAAATATATAGGTAATGCACTAAGTGAAAAAATCATTTTCTAAATAGAAAATAATGCTAGTAATTTTGAGGGAAATTATATGTTACAAAAGCGTATACAATTAACAATGTATTTAGCAATGTTTTAGGGAAAAAATTAATGCTTTATTAATAGACTTTATAAGAGAAGCAAAAAAATAAGGTGCAGTGTTTGAAAGCCCAGTCATGTGTCATTAGACCAGCAATGGGCTGAGGGCTCTGTAATCGGAGCATGGCATCCAGTGTTAATATTTCAGGTGAGATCATAAACATTCTTCACAGCAGACCTGCCTCTGTCAAACTACCAATCCTCACCAACAAAGAACCTGCTCTCCAGTGCTTCACAGAATCCTTGGCAGCACCAAGTACCAGGACCAAATAAGAATTAGGAATACACAGGGGCTTAAACATCCTTTGAGAATTTTGGATGGCTTTATACAAAAGTTGGCTCCTTTCCACTTTCCATTTTTCCCTTCAGTCCCAGTGCTTTAAAAGGAAAGACCAAGAAACAGAAACAAAAACAAACAAAAGAAGACCGGTACCTAAAAGGTGCCTGCTTCTCTGAATTACTGAGAAAATAAGTGTAACTTATTCTTCAGTAGCCCAGCATGCTGTAGTGAGCTTCCTAGACAATAATAGCAGAAACTGAGACATAAGAACAATCTCTATTTCCTACCAGTTAACTCAGCTTTCCCAGTGCCAGAGTTGGCAAGGTGTTGCGTTAGCAGTCTGGGTTTGCAGTTGTGACAGCGAGCAGTACTGGATCCCTTTTAGCATAATCAGTGCTGAGTAAGGGTTCAGGGTCTGGCTATACCCTGACTGCTTTCTTTAGTTTAAGCTAGGACTTCATATGACAAGTCTCTTTGTCTTGCAATTCTGTTTTACCCACCTGCTAAGTGGTAAAACTACCTGTGGTAGTTAAGTGGCTTAGCATCTGCACACCCTTTCCACCTCCTGGTTCCATTTCCTAAAATCCTCAAATGCTTTTTTGACTAGACCTGGAAAATGAGTATTACTCTGGCCAAATCATTTTACAGTACACTACCATTTTCTTCCTTAGGTTTCAATTAAAAGGCAATTCTGCTAGTTACTGTATTCTGGCTGGAAGGGACAGTATTTGGAATAGCAGTGTTCCTGTGTGTGAACGTGAGTATATATAGCAATACTTTAATGTAGTTGCTCTCTCTAACTTCTTGTTAATTATTTTACCTTTCAGTATTTCTTCTATATTCTAGTCTGACTTACTGACAGAAGTTGATTACTTTAATAAAATTTTGTTCTTATTATCTCCTTGCTTTGGAAACTCTTTGATTAGCTTCCATCATTTTGAACTTTGTGTTGATGTGTGTTATTTCCTGTGTGGATTGCTACTAGGACAAGACTTTGACAAGTTTCTCTTCTCTTTCCTCCCCTTCTTGCTTCCCTGTGTTTTTCTTTTATGTTCTGTCATCAATATGCAAACACTTATTCATATTTATTTGGTAATATGCATATATAAAACAAATGTCCACTTAATTAATTATTGAGCAAAAGTTATGTGCTTTATTTTCACCAGCACTGGAATTATAATGGTGATAAAGATGAGCTAATTTTCAGACTCCATATTATATGTACTTAAGTAGGAAGATGAACAAGAAACAAATTGAATACTATGGAGTTAATACATCAGATAATAGGTAATAGATCAGAGGAAATGAGAATGAGGAAAATTAGGTAAACCACATCAGACTGAGTAGGAAAGGTAACATTCTTAAAGTCTCAACGTAAGCATATAAAATATGCTGAAATATTAAGAAATAAAAAGATTAAAAAGAAAAGCTCTTATACAAAATCACTGCTTATTTCTCCTACTTGTTACTTGTTCTATAAAAACTTTCCAAAAGTTTGCCAACACTTGTAAAATATTTATTTGAGGTGTATGGGTGTTTTGCCCGCATGTATGTCTGTGCATTGTGTGCATGCCCGTTGCCATAGAGGCCAGAAAAGGGTGTCAGATTCACAGATCTTGGAGTCACAGATGGTTTTAAGCCACTGAGAGAGTGTTGGGAATAAAACCCAGGTCCTGTGGAAGAGTAGTCAGAGCTCATAACCATGGAGCCATTTCTCCAGTCCCAGTGGTTTTTGTTTTTAACAGTAAATTTTAAATTTCTTATAGGCCATAGATGTGCACTTCATAAGTTGCCTACTTCTCTGAATTACATGGAAAGACAAGACTTTTATTGCTTTTCTTTCTATTGCTTTCCTAACGTTTTGTACTCACTTTGTGTGTAATTCCCCTCCTCACTGTGAGGCTGCAAGTCTATCTTGTGGCCGATTTCCATGCTTGCTTGACTCAGACAGAATAGGGTTTTTTTTTTTCTTTTTCATTCATTCTTCCAACTTTGCATCTCCATGTTCTTCCAAGCAGCTGTTGACATTTACAGCTTGCATGTTCCTGATTTCTTTTTAATGTCTAAAATAAAAATTGTCCTCAAACTTTAAAAAAGTGAATAAATCAACTAATCTTTAGTTGCTAGAAATCCACTTGAGCATCTTATGATGTTTTCCACAACATAGCGTGTGTGTGTGTGTGTGTGTGTGTGTGTGTGTGTGTGTGTAAAATATTTGCTATCCAGGAAACTTTACACGGAAGCAGTATGACCAATGGCTCTTCTACCACCATGCACTAGAACTCTTTGACATATTTCCTGGTTTTTTTCCACTCATTGTGAAACTACTGTAATAATGAGACTGATGGTTGACATCAGTGAGTCATTAAGGGAAGATCTCATTCCTTTAAGGTGTTTAGTATACATGGAATGCATTTTAGAAAGATGCCCTAAGAATGTAAGCTTCTTTGAGGATAAATATCTGCCAGCACTCTTCTCTACTGTTCCCCCAGTTGCTGGTAAAGGCTGAAACAAGGATGACTCCAAGCAATAGTGAATACTTAGCCTAAACTAGCCATCTCCTATGATCAGATTGTTGACTACCCCAGTTGTCACCAGAGAGCCTTCATCCAGTAACTGATGGGAACAGATGCAGAGATCCACAGCCAAACAATAGGTTGAGCTTGGGGAATCCTGCTGAAGAGACAGAAGGAGGATTGTAAGGTGCAGAGGGGTCAAGGTCATCACAAGAAAACCCACAGAAACAAGTGACCTAACTGAGGAATTCAGAGTCTGAGTCAACAACCAGGGAGCCTGTGTAGGTTAGACCAACCTAGGTTCTCTACAAATATGTGTCAGTTGTATAGCTTGGTTTACTGCAACTCCTAATAATAGGAGCAGGGGCTGTCTCTAATGCTTTGGCTGCCTCTTAGGAACCTATTCCTCATACTGGATTGCCTTGCCCAGCCTGAATACAAGGGGAGGTGCTTAGTTAGTCTTACTGCAATTTGATATGCCATGCTTTGTTGATACTCATGAGTCTTTCTCCTATCTGAACAAAAATGGAGGGGAGCGCAGGAGGACTACAAAGGCAGCTTTACTGGTCACTGTGTCTTAGCTGGAATGAACAGCAGTGTTCCTGTGTGTGGATGTGAGTAGAAAGCTTACCTTAACCATGCAGCCTGGATTGCACTCCCGATTTTCTCTCCCGGTGTGCTGTCCCTCATCGAATTTCCTTTGCCCACAGATCTTTACTAAACTACTTATTTGTTGGAAATATTTCAAGTAAAGCCTTATAAGTAGGTGTTTGTGGTTTATCAACATGTGGTATGTTGATGTTGAATTTTGTGGGGAATATGGCGGAAGAATCTAGGTGATATAAAAGTACATGAAATGATACCTATTTGTTGTATTTATTAGTTTCGTCATCAGGGGTTGATCTCTCTTAAATTGTCATGCTCTTTTATCCCCTCACCGATGTATTTATTAGGCCATTGTCTTCTCTATGGCATTTACTGACAAAAGCTTCTGTGTCAGGACTTTGTATGTGTGGAAAGAGTAACATAGGTTAGAGCCATTCATATTTTCATAAAGTTAATTTTCCAGTTGGAAACAAATAAAGAACAGGAAAATAAATATTTTTTTTAAAAAAATCACAATATATCACTAGCATGATAATAGTGAAGTGTGATAAGAAAATAAAAATTTATATAAGAATTTATTATGGTACAGGAAGTGGGAGCAGTAAGTCAATCTTTAACATGATGGAGGACCATTTATTTCCAAACCATATGCTTACAAAAAACACCTAGAATTTTTTTAATCTATTTGTAAATAGATTAAAGTACATGTTTTCTATATAAAACATTACTCGTCTATCTTACTTATATGTCCTAAAGCAAAGCAAGTCAGTTTTTTAAATTCTAATATTCCTTTTGATTATAAAATGTCAATTTCAAGTAAAATTTAATAAAATAAATTGCTAGATACCTATTTGTATGCTTTATGGCAAAAATTTATAGGCATATTCAATGCATAAGAAATTGTGGTATTGAACCAATGCACAGACAGTAAGACTGGCAGTAAATATACCAGCTGTGAATTAGAAAGTGAGATAAAATATGTTTGTTTTTGGTTTCTAAACAAAATCTCATCTCTAGAACCATCTGATCTGGCACAAAAACATCTTTGTAGTTATCTGATGACACCATAGTATATTTGTTTGGTACTGATAATGGCCTTGAATCACTAAGAAACATTTGCTTTGCTAAAGTGCATGTTTCAGACAGGTTTCCCTAGAATTTAGTGTTTGTGTGACCAAAGCTTCACTAGTTTATTTACTTATTTTATAGAAATTCTTGTACATAGTTTCATATTTTCCAATAAATAAAATGAGTATGATTTCTTTTGGCTATGGCCTGTCTTTTTTTTCTTTTTGAAAATAGAAATTCTTCATTTTGATATTATTAACTTTCTAATTTTATCCTTCTAATTACTGATTTTTCTGTTCAAGAAATCTTTGAGTATTATGATTACATTTTTCCATCTTATAAGGCTAAAAACTTTGTTGTTAATATCATTTTTCAAATTTTCCTTTCAGTTAACAACAGATTTGCAAATTAATAGACAAAGAAGAAAAATCTGAAAGCTGATATAAACTCTGTAATATATCAAAGAGCTATTTCAAACGAAGAGGTCAATTGTATTTGTAACTTCATGTACTTATAAGATAAGAGAAAAGTAGGAAAACTTTACAGAAAAAAGTAGGTGCACATGTTGTTATGTGTGCCTAAATAACAACATTTTAAAACTCATCTATAAATCTATAAATATTAAATACTTTTAATGAACATTTGAGTATATAAGGAGTATAAGTATCTTCAATTCAGTGATTCATTGGATTTCCCCTATTTATATAAAATATAATCTGTTTTCTTTGCCCAGGAATTCCTTGTGAAGCACCCCAAGCCATTACCAATGGAGAGTTCGTTGCTCCTACAGAAGATTTTTATTATGGAATGGTGGTCACCTATCGCTGCAAAACTGGTGATAGAGGGGAAAAGCTCTTTAATCTGGTGGGTGAACCATCCTTACACTGTACCAGCAGTGATGGTGAAGTTGGAGTCTGGAGTGGCCCTCCTCCTCAGTGCATTGAACTTGGCAAATGTACACCTCCCCATGTTGAAAATGCAGTCATGGTGTCTGAAAGCAGAAGCTTGTTTTCCTTAAGAGATACTGTGGAGTTTAGATGTCAGCCTGGCTTTATCATGGAAGGAATCAGCAGTGTACAGTGTCAAGACCTAAACAAATGGGATCCAGAGTTACCAAGCTGCTTCCAGGGTAAGTCTGATCAGGGCTTGGGGAGCATGACATGCCATGGGGTGTTGGAGGACCAGAGGTAAAGGTTGGTTCTGGAAGAGGGCATTTGGTGAACAGGTTGGATGAGTAAATTTTCATGGGAGGGAATGTGAAATCAAGAAGGGTCATGTGTTTGTGGTGTTTGTGCACCCTCAAAACACATCCATTCAAACTGAGAAGAAGCTAAATATGAACAAGGAATGTGATACATCCTGGGAATTATCATACACAGAAGTTCTTTTCATGTATTGCCATCTCCAGCCCTTATCAGTTATTCATATACCTAATATTTACTAATATGTAATGAGTGATCCTTGGCTAGTCATATTAAATACATGCATATTTAATTCCTAAAATGAAACTATGGGGTAGTTATTATTTTTGCCATATTGAGGCTTAGGGGTTAGATAGTTTTCCAAGACTATATAGGCACTAACTTGCAGAGCAAAGATTAAAATCCAGGTCTTTCCATTTGGCAGATCCTCCCAAGGAATGAAGACTTTCCTGTAGGTGATAATGGGTTATAAAGATATTAGAAGGATAGGAAGAGTAAAAGGAAAACAATGCTGCCAAAGATCAGGGAACTACTGTTACTCAAGAATAGAGCTGATACATCGGGCCCTACCATGGTTGACACTGTCAACCTCTGTCATGGCCAGACCCTGCTACTTCTTCCAGGATAGAGCCAGTCCTTGCTGTCATTAGTGTTGCTGACTGCTGCTCACTTGAGAGGTCATCAAGGCTGCCTCAACTTATGCTGTCCTTGGATGCATAAATGTGCCTATCACATCTCTTGTCCTTTAGTTTGATATGTATGTCTTCCAGGTGGCAGAACTTAATTAGAGCCCCTGGAGCCGTGGTTTTCTATCTATGCAATGGGACCCATTTGGCTAACCTTATCTCCAAAAATATTTACATTATGATTCAGTAAAAGTAACAAAATTACAGTTATGAAGTAGTAACAAAAACAATTTTGGGAATGGGGATCACCAGAACATGAGGAACTGCTATTCGAGGATCACAGCTTTAGGAAGGTTGAAAACCACTGTCCTAGAGCAAAGAAGTCGTAGTGTTCATGTTTTTACCCATAACAATCAAAAGGCATTATATAGTCGTAGTGTTCATGTTTTTACCCATAACAATCAAAAGGCATTATATAGTATGAAACTGAGAATCAATAGAAATTTAACCAGATTATACTTTAAATATCACAGCTCATGTATTAGTCAAGGGAAACTCTTGAGAGATGAGCACTCAAAGCAATTATTAGAACATCAAAAATATTTGGAAATCCTTAAGAAAGTCATTTTTTCTAGACCAATATTCCAAAGTTCAAGGCTAGCCTGGTCAACAGAGCTAGTTCAGAACAGTCAAGGCTATACAAAAAAAAAAAAAAAAAACCTCCTGTCTTAAAAAACAAAACAAAAAAGATATTGGGAGTATTATAACTTTAGTGTACATCATAGAGAGAAAACAATAAATTCAAGATTTATCAGTTATAGTCACAGTATCTTCATTGTATAGTCACTTTTGGCAGAAAGGTTGTTTATTTTGTCATATATCAATAAAGTTGTTCCTTTTTTTCTTTTATTTCCGACATAAAGTTGTGATCCTCTTGGCATGTGTGATACAGTCTACAATTGAGGGAATTTTTTTCACTTCATGAACGTTTTTTTCCTTAACATGTCACCTGCCTCTAGAAATCCAGCACTAGGAGTGTACCCCAAACAAAGATGGTGTTTTTATCCAAAGCTGAAACTGCTCTAGCACTATGAGCCAGGCTACACATTAGAGTCCTGTGGCTCCCGCATGTGTGGGTCTCCAGACTGTCATCTGGATTGATATTTATGGCTTGTGTTTATATTTTCTACATACTGTTATTTCTGTTTGACTCTTTTTCTCCAGTGAAATCCTGTCGTCCTTTCCTGGAACAGCTTCCTAATGGGAATGTACTATTTCCACTAAATCTTCAAATTGGGGCTAAAGTGTCCTTCATTTGCAATAAAGGGAATTCAGAGTCTGAGCCAACAACCAGGGAGCCTGTATAGGTTAGACCAACCCAGGTTCTCTACAAATATGTGTCAGTTGTATAGCTTGATTTACTGCAACTCCTAATAATAGGAGCAGGGGCTGTCTCTAACGCTTTGGCTGTCTCTTAGGAACCTATTCCTCATACTGGATTGCCTTGCCCAGCCTGAATGCAAGGGGAGGTGCTTACTGCAATTTGATATGCCATGCTATGCTTGTTCCTATCTGAACAGAAATAGAGGAGAAGTCAGGGGCTGGGCAGGTGGGGTTGGGACATGCAGGAGGACTACAAAGGCAGCTTTACTGGTCACTGTGTCTTAGCTGGAATGAACAGCAGTGTTCCTGTGTGTGGATGTGAGTAGCCATGCAGCCTGGATTGCACTCCCGATTTTCTCTCCCAGTGTGCTGTCCCTCATAGAATTTCCTTTGGTACAGGAAGAAGGAGTAGTAAGTCAATCTTTAACATGATGAAGGACCATTTATTTCCAAACCATATGCTTACAAAAAACACCTAGGATTTGGAAGTTTGTAAATAGATTAAAGTACATGTTTTCTATATAAAACATTACTCGTCTATCTTACTTATATGTCCTAAAGCAAAGCAAGTCAGTTTTTTAAATTCTAATTTTCCTTTTGATTATAAAATGTCAATTTCAAGTAAAATTTAATAAAATAAATTGCTAGATACCTATTTGTATATTTTATGGTGAAAGTTTATAGGCATATTCAATGCATAAGAAATTGTGGTATTGAACCAATGCACTGACACATAAGACTGGCAGTAAATATACCAGCTGTGAATTACTACAGTGAGATAAAATTTGTTTGTTTTTGGTTTTTAAACAAAATCTCTCATCTCTAGAACCATCTGATCTGGCACAAAAACATCTTTGTAGTTATCTGATGACACCATAGTATATTTGTTTGGTACTGATAATGGCCTTGAATCACTAAGAAACATTTGCTTTGCTAAAGTGCATGTTTCAGACAGGTTTCCCTAGAATTTAGTGTTTGTGTGACCAAAGCTTCACCCATCCTCAAACTTGTTGTAAATGGGGCTCTTACTATTCCTGGTATAAAGTAGGCAATTGAATAGTTGCTAAATAAATAAATAAATAAAACCAAAACCAGAAACCTATTTCCAAATCTGTTTTTTTTTTTTTTTTAATTAGCTTCCTAGGTGATCTAGGACTACTGTCTTCCGGGCTTTTAGAACAAACTGTAGTTCTGGTTAGCTCAGTTCCATCTTAGCAAAAACCTTACAGATCCAAAAGTACTAATGTCCCACTCACGAATACAGTCATCATATTAGTTATTTTTAATGAAATTAATAGAACCTAAAGTTTTTATCTCTTTCTAGAAATTTTTTGTTCATATTCTCCAGCTGTCATCAATGGGAAACATACAGTTACTGTTCTGGGAGCTGTCTTTCTTTTCTTCCTTGCCTTCTCTTTCTCTCTCTCTCTCTCTCTCTCTCTCTCTCTCTCTCTCTCTCCTTTGACACTATTAGTAAAATTCAGCACCAGTGTCTTTCCATCTGTCCTAGTATCAAAATCACCTGGATTGTTGCAAAAAAAGATATTCCCTAGCCCCATTCCAGGACTCAGATTCTGTTTTGAGAAGGGTCAGAAAGCTACTTTTAACACATTAATCAATATATTGTAATATATAAAAACCACACCTACTAGATGCCACTTTATCTTGTTGATACCTATGGAGAGAAACATATTTTGGGCAAATCTTAGACAAATACAACAGAAAACGAAGCTTTACTTGAAGTTTGAAGAAGATATTGATGACTGGACAGAAAAAGAAAGCAATTTCAAGAATGAGTTAAATGCAATAAAAGAAATAAATAAAAAGATGATATTTAAAATTAGAATTGCAAGTTACTAACTTCTTGGTTCTATATACAAAAACATATCAGAAGTATTCACTTACTTCAGGGCACAAATATCAGCATATATTCTCTACTTTTAGAAGAATTTCATATTAAGTCTCTAAAATGATAACATATACTGGTTCCATGGAGCCAGGGCTAAAACAGGGTTGTCCTAACTTCTGATCTTTCTAAATATTACCAACTACAGAGCTGATAATCAGAAGTGTCCCATCTTACTGTACACAAGAAATGGAAATCAGAAAAAATTAAATCATAAATTTGGAGGGGTGGTAATAATTTTTTATTGAAAATATGCCCCCATTTTGTAGAAGGCAAAGTTTGGGGTTGCAGATGTTTCTATTATAGTAGTTTCAATTAACAACAAAATACATTTTTTGTGATTTTCTTCTTATTACAGGAGTGACATGTATCATCCCAGAGCATATGAGTGGAATCTATGAGGAGCTGAAATGAAAAAAATATTACTATGAAGATAATGTAACCTTGGAATGTAAAGATGGGTATACTCTAGATGGCAGTTCTCAGAGCCAGTGCCAGATAGATTCCACCTGGAATCCTCCCCTGGCCAACTGTGTATCTCGTAAATAAAAGATATAGGGGTTGGAGCCCCTTCCCAGCATGGTCCCTCACTGACTGACCAGTCACCGCTCTATTCTGGTGCCCACTGTGATGAGCTGTTGCAATGTGTAGAGATTACCGAGCTAAGAATGTGCTCTCTTAAAATACAAGTTAGAATATTAGTAAAAATTGCTTGAAGTGTGAATCTACAATAGAAAAAAACACAAAAAGCACATACACAGAGAGAGACACATACCCACACAGAAAACTCATAAAACCACAACATCAGAAACCATAATATATAAGCAAAAGTCCAGTAACATTAAAAAAAAACCCTTCAATACCACTGAGTTCATTTTGAGTTGGCCACCTACTGCTGGGCATGGGGTCTGCCCTTGAGTGTAGGTTGTATATCCAGTGAGACTTGACTGGACAAAAATAATTTCTCATTTGCAAGCTACTGTCAGTTGGAGATGGCTTCTTAGTTAGTGCTGGTAAGTTCCTGTTCACTTGACCCTCTCAATGCAGGGACCTCATCTGGCTGGAACCTATGCAGACCCTGTGTGTTCTACAATGGTCTCTGTGTGTTCATATGGCCACCGGTCCTCTCCCATCACCACTGGCCCTTACAATCTTTATAACTCATCTTCTGCAATAACCGTACATTTGATCTGTAGCACTACCAACAAAGAAGGAAGCCAATTTTCATAAAAATTGATCACTTTTGGGGCTGGAGAGATGACTCAGAGGTTAAGAGCACTGATTGCTCTTCCAGAGGTCGTGAGTTCAATTCCCAGCAATCACATGGTGGCTCGCAGCCATTTATAATGAGATCTGTTTCCCTCTTTTGGCATGCAAGCATACATGGAAGGAATGTTGTATACATAATAAATAAATCTTCAAAAAATTGTTCACTTTTTGGACCTATTGATGAATTTGAAATATAAATTAAAAAGTACTGAAGAGATAGAAAATACATACAAAATAGAATAAAAGGTTAAATAGAATTATAATAAATTACTTTAGTGGTAGTTGTGCTAATGGTAATAATTATAAAAGTTAAAGTATATTGAACATTTAGTACTGATTTTCAATGGCTAGTGATAGGCAAAGGATAGGTAGGTATGTAGATAGATAGATATTCTAATTAAGTGCTCATAATAACCATGAGATCATATTCTAAGGACACTTTTTTTAATAGATAAAGAAACTGAGGCATAAAGGGCTTTGATAACTTGCTCCAAACCACAAAAATTATGTAGCCTGGGTACAGTCAGTCACTCCATATATCAATAGAGACTGGGTGCTATAACAAATAAATGATCAAAAGTCCTAAATAAATAATTCTCAAGAAGAATAATTTCCAGTACTGTAGTGAAAAGGACAACTATTAGGTAAAGGTACCAAATATCAACTTGAGGAGAAAAGGGTTTATTTGGCTTACACTTCCACTTTGTAGTCCTTTATCAAAGGAAGTCAGGACAGGATCTCAAACAGGTCCAGAACCTGGAGGCAGGTTCCATGGAAGAACACTTACTGGCTCTCTCAGTCACCAGGCATGGCACCACACACAATGGGTTGGGCTCTCCCCGTCGTCATTAATCAAGAAAATGCCATGCAGGCTGGCCTACAGTCTGATATTGTAGAGGCATTTTCTTAATTGAGATTTCCTCCACTCAGGTAATTTTAACCTATATCAGTTGATGTAAAACTATCCAGCACAGAGGTGGAGACAAAAGGGGCCAAATATCTACCAACTAGAAGGTTCTTGAAATCAGATTTTAGGGTAAACTCCTCATGAATTATGCTGCACCACTGTGAACTTCTTCTCTGGATTGAGATCTAGACTAAAGCAGCCTCCTTTGGGCTCCCATTCCTCTTGATACATCTGGTCTCAAACCTTGAAATCTTACTTCTTTGAGGGGAGAAGAGAATAGAAGGGGAAAAAAATAAAAGAAGAAAAGAACAGTATTTGTCCCTATGTCTTAGGATAAATTGCACAAGATACCAGCCATTGATCTTCCTAAAAAGGAAATTAGGAAGTACATTGTAGAGATGCTACAGCCTTGACACAGCTCACTATGAAAAAATTTGAGAGCAATTAAAATAGAATAATTACCTTTGAGTACCAATACCAGAGGATGAATGTCCTGGTGGTCTTAGGTCTACCTTATCACCAACTCAGTGACCTGTTAGTAAGGTCACAGCTACATCTTCCTTACGCAAGAGCTAATCGTGTTACAACCCATGCAAGCTTGGCATTGATTTCAGGACAAGTAAGTTCACCTTCAGAGAAGGTGTGAAAATTCAGAGACTTCATTGGAATTCTCAGTGATTCTCAAGGTGTGGCAGGTAAAGCGTGTCCTGAAGTCCACTCTCCTTAGGCCCCAGGATCCCTTTCTTTGGTGCAACTGTTTTTCTAAAATCCATTTTTCATTTGTTTCTTTTTTAGGGTTTGTTTTATTTTTTGTTTTGTTTTGCCCACCTATCTCTCAAAAGCACAAGTGTCCTGCTGTCTTCTCACTTTATAGATCTTCCTAGTTCACAAGTCCTGTGTCATTTCTGAGGTAAAAGACATTTGTCCAGTTCAATATAACATGACTCTGGAACAGAAGCAGGAAGTGCAGAAAATATCTTAGAATACAGGATTTGGAAAATAGGTATAAATATTATTTTTACTCTGGTATATAAATATGTAGAAACTTTAATATCATTAGAAGGGGGAAAAAGGCCAAAGAAAACAAGGTAATTTTTCCCCATTATATTAACAGTGAAAAGGGTTTTAGGCAAATGGTGTTTAACAAGCAAGAGAAATGATGTTGTATATTTAAAGTGCTATTGAGTATTTGGAAAAACTTTTACAAAAACAAAAAACAGTAAGGAGACCTGTTTAAGTTAATGAAGTAATGTATGAAAATACAAATTTTCTTAACAGTTTAAAAGCAAAAGCTTGAAGCAACTTAAATACATAAGTCACTGAGCACAGTATATGGGACAGGTTATGTTTGCTGCCTCTATATTAATTTGCACTTCAGCTCACTGTGTGAAGACTTTAGATGTGTGGGGAATGTATGCAATGAAAATGTGATATTTTTCTATTATATTGCTTTATAAATTTTCTTTTGTAGTAATATTATTTTATAATAAAAAGATTAAAGAAATTTTCAGTGAGTGAAAATAATAAAATGAGATTGTAGGAGTGATACCAATGGCATTTTATATTAGAAAAACAATAAATGACTCCAAGATTAAAATCAAAATGAACCATACTAGCAAAAACAGCCTTGCACACCACAGGCATTTCCTACTGAGCAGTCTTGCTGATACTCAATAAGATTATTTGAAATTTTATATCACTGAAATGCTGTCTTTTCAGGTTGTAAATATATTTTCCTCCAATGATAGAAAAAACAGGAAAATTTGAATAGTAAATCTTATTTGCAAATGAAAATGATACACTGCTATCACTGTTTTTAGAATGTGTTAGTTTATTGTGAGGACTAAACACTTTTTAATAACACTTTCTCAGAACTATAGATGAATACCAGAGTTGTCTGAATCAGTAAAGTTTGTTGCTGCTAAGCCTGATAACCTGAGTTAAATCTTTAGAAGTCCCAAATTACTCCTACAAAATTTTCTCTTATTTCTACACTTGGGCAGTTGCATATGTGTACACCAACACTTACATAAATAATTGTTTAATCCAAGTGACACTAAGATCACTTGCAAGCAGATGGTTTTCTGGGTCTCATCTCTAGAACTCACATAGTAGAATTAGGTAATAGACATCTGTAAGTTACTTCTCGCTGCCATATTCACATCATGGCCCAGATATACATAAGCATAGTTAAAACATTTTTAAGTGGAGAAAATTAACAAAGCAAGAAAATAACCCAATTTGAGGACATATGAAATGACTTGCTAGTGTAGCATGAATAATAAAACCCCAGAGACAGATATTGGGTCTCAACCTGAACATCAGAGAAGGAAAGCAGCCAAGCTGCTAGAAAGCTCTTACCTCTCTGAAATCTGACTGAAAGAAAGTGAGTTTCTGTCTCATCCTGCCTTATATTCTCTAGTGCTAGGATTAAAGGCAAGTACCTGCACTCTAAGGCTAACAAGTGTGGCTGCTGGGATCAAAGGTGAGTGCCACTACTGCCTGGCCTGTATGGTTGACTAGTGTGGCTGTTTTGAATTCTGGTTTTCAGGCAAGCTTTATTTATTAAAACACAAATAACATACTACTGTATTTCCCTGTTTTGTGTAAAATAAAAAGGCAATAATTAACATAAGAAAACCTACATACAATACGTACAATATCTGTATATGATATAAACAAACAATGAGTACATCAACAATGTCTATATAGTCCATTTGCAATTGGCAAATTCAGAGAAAATACTATATCCTATCTTGGTGAGTCCAAATTCTTGAACCTAATTTAGTTTCTATCATAACTTGCATTAGCATCCAAAACTATCTAATGATATCTCTCAACTTTTTCATTTTACAGTTCTTTAGTGAATTTCTTTTCTAAGTCTGTTAAATAAGGAAAATTATAATTATCTAGTCTTCAACTTTCTCAGAGACCAAAGAAGGAAATAATATTAACTGGGTAATCAGGAAGTGTAAGGAAGCAACATCTAAAAAAATGTGAGAAATGACAAACAGCTGGCTGCCTGGATAGTCACCCAAAGTTCCTTTGCAATGCTGAAGCATTCATCTTCGACCTACAGACCTAGCATGTCCAAAAGACTTTTCTGAGGAATAGGATATTATCAAGCGCTGTCTTTCCTTGTCTTGACAGTGTTTGGCAATCATTTTCTTTTGTGCCCTGCTTGTCCAATTAGAACAGCATACTAGCAGCAGTCAAGGTAAGTACATTTTCTTGCTCAGTGATATTGTCACAAAGAAAGTAAACTCCATGTGGAGATTCTTCAATGCCCATTTTCTTTTCTGAAGTGTTGGTGTTGCCAGGAGCAGACATGACTTATTGTCATTAAAAAAAAAAAAATCCAGCTCCAGCAGGGGTACATGGCTTCTCTCTACTCTGCCCTTCTTTCTCCCAGAATTCAGT